AAGTTCCGATAGTAACGACCCTCCGAAAGTAGCAACCCCCCAAAATTAACGTCAATTTTTTGTGGCTGCTAGTAAATCCCGAAAGTAGCGCCTTTGATTTATAGTTAGTGACATAATAACAAAGAACGCGTTCTGTCAATAAATAACATGTCTTCTATATTTCGCAGCTAAAATAGATTCTGAGGGTCGTTAAGCCTTCTCTGCTGGAGAATTCTCGTTAAAAAGTAAGCAATTCTTTTTGCTACTGCAGGGTCTTCATATTCGTACTATGAAAACGAAGACCCTAAAGGTCTCTCAGAATTACCTTATTTAACTTTAATTCAAATGTACATTGTACATATTCCATTCCATAACAATTGTGTTATGTTGTAATTTATTTTAGGCATCTTGATGGTCACCACAAACTGATGAGATGGAGATTTGTGATACAAAGAGCCGTAGATGGCTTTTCAAGGGTAGTGGTGTTTCTCCAGGGTAATACCAATAATAGAGCTGATACTGTTCTGTTGTTTAATGAGGCAGTAAATACCTTTGGTCTTCCCACACGTATACGTTGTGATCATGGTACAGAAAACATTGATGTGGCTAGGTTGATGTTAGATGTTCATGGTGTAGAGGGAAATCATGTATTAACAGGTCTGTGTGTTCATAACCAATGCATTGAACGTCTCAGGGTTGATGTTGTGAGGTACATTGTTGTGCCATATAGAAACATATTCACTCATTTAGAAAACTCTGGCTTGTTGGATCCAGCTAATGAGGTACACCTCCATGCCCTTCATTGTGTGTATCAACCAAGGATTAACAGAAGTATCGATGAGCTTATTCTTCAGTGGAATAACCATGGTTTGTCTTCACCGAGATGCCAGACACCCATGCAGTTGATGTTTGAAGGGCTATACAATAGTCTAGCTCAAGGCGATTCAAATTATTTTGTAGGCATTTCAGAGGGTTATGCGATTGATGATGATGCACCAAAGCCTGAGTTACAAACAAATAACGATGTCCCAGTTCCTCGGTCAGCTATATAACACTTTCTCCAACTCAACAAAAAATGCTGGCACAGCTTGTGGACCCTTTCAGTCATGATCAAAGCAGTGGTGTAAACTTAGACTGTCAAACATTGGCTCTCAATGAAAATTTTGTTAACTCATTACAGCAAGGTTAGAAAGATATTGTTCTCAATGGACAAATGAGAAATCTTTCTGGATGAAAGGTAGGTAGTGGTGGAATGAGGTTTTTTGGAATTTTTTGATTGTGCCTTAATGCAGTTTAAACATGGAAATTAAGCTGTGACCAAAAGATTTGGGATGAAGATATATACGACAAAAATTTATTATATGCCTGTTTATTTAGGAAAAATACTACTACTTTTTCTGTTGAAATCATTGGCACACTGCCTGTACAAACCTGAACTAGATAACAATAACAACCTGTTAACAAATTCTGTCACTACAGTGCAAAAATGGTAGTCAAAGAAGGCTATTCCTAGAAATAGGAGCCAATGAAAATAGATTTAGTGAACAAGGTGTCTGGTGGTTGGCAACACCAAAGAAAGTATGGGCCTGGTACAATAATGAGAGAGTACTTGTATCTGTTTTTGAGGCATTAGTTGAAATAAAATTTGTTTCGACAAATCGTTTTGATCAAATTAAAGTTTTCTGATTNNCATAATCTGAACTTCAACATGTCAAGATCCTACACACAGTTGAAGGACTTGGTTGTAACGGATATTACTGCTTCAAGGGAACTTGAAAAGGTCATTTTGTCAGGAAAAACTTGAGGAAAGCTTATACTTTTCAGGCAAGTTGAAGCAAAAATTGATGTGACATAGTCACATTTTATTTCAATTTTGCCCAGTCCAAAATGTGGTAAACAGGGTGCACCAGTTGAAAAGACAAGAAACTGATTCAGTGTTTCAAGCGATGCATTCTGCAAGTATTCTACTAAATAGCTCTCAATAGTGGCTTCTATGCTACTTGCTGGTTTAGGAAACTGTAATACCCCGATAACATCACTAGGAATCAACTCCTTGTCTTGGAGCACAAATAATTCCTAGAAAAGGTCAGGATATTGTTTCATCTTTTCACCAAGGGACAGCACTGCAAGGCCATCTCGCAGTTGATCAAGAAGTATTTTAGGGCGCCCCAGGACATCATGCACTATTATGCCCTGCAAGACCATTGTCTTGTTTGAATCCTGAAAAAGAAATAAATGATACAGGACTATTAATATCAAAACAATTATCAGACGTGTCAGTATTATCCTAGTTTTATTATAACCTCAAAGTATTTTGACTGTTGGAGTTCTTGAAAATAAGTTTTAACAGCAAAATGATGTGATTGAGAGTTTGCCCTTTTGAGTCTTTGATAAAACATCTCTATTGATTCCATGTTAAACTTTTCTTTGCGGTAAAGGCCACTAAACCCAGTGAATTGCTCGACCTTAAGGTTCCTGATAACTTAAAGTGAGTAAACTTACAGTCAATGCAACAGTTAAACCACACTCCGACAGAAAACTGTCCATTTCCTCTGCATCCAAAGTTGAGACAGATGCCTTTAAAACCTGTTGAGGTTCAAGCAGTAATTCAAGTTGTATCCTTTTATCAAAATGTACGAGGTGTTAAACACAGTACACTAAACCTTCTGTACTCTTTTACCTCTATTTTAATCTACAGTATTTCATAGCTTTGACATAATCTTAAGTTACCATTAACTGAACAAAAACAGTACTCTCCACAAGTAAGATATCAAATGGGGAAAAGAGCACAGCATGTATTTGACACAGCTTTCTGTGCCTATTCAAGTTGTGGTTATAGTACTAAATAACACTACTACTAAGTAACACTGGTCATCAGAGAGAACAAGGAACAAGGTGTCCCAATCCAGGGGTGTAGCTGCACAAGGAGGGGGGGGGGATCTGGTATGCCCACAAACCCTTATACAAACCTTATGATTGAGATGGTGAAAACATACAAACCCAAACAATAAACAAGGTTCATAAGAAAAAAATTGCACTTTTAGAGAAAGGCACTTTTAGAGAAAGGCAGTTAGGTCAATGATAGAGCGCTGGACTGTTGTGCGGGAGGTCGAGGGTTCGAGCTCCGGCCGGACCAACACTCAAGGTCTTAAAACAAGTGAGAAGAATATGCTACCTTTCTATTAAGAAATGGTTAGATACTCTAGTCTTCTCGGATAGGGACGAATAAATGGGGGTCCCGTCTCCTGCAGGGTTAGTGGTAGGAGACGTTAATTTCCCATGCACGAGATTACTGTGTGATGGATGTCCTTCGCTGGGGTGGTTGCTGGGTGGGAATTGTCCCTGAAAAGCCCCCATGGGGAGTGGTCAATTAACATATGTATGTATATGTATGTATATGTATGTATATGTATGTATGTATGTATATCCACATGAAAATCTGATAAGAAGCCTGAACTGACAAACCCAGAAACTGACAAACTTTTTTCCTTTTGTGAAACCACTCCTGCACATGTTTATTCAGTTTTATTGAAATTTTCCAGATCTAAAGCAACTGGCCCCGATAATATCCCCGCCAAACTCCTGAAGGAATGCCCCGATTTAATCTGTGAGTCGCTATCATTGATATTTAATCAGTCATTTAAAACAGGTGTATTTCCGAATGATTGGAAAAATGCTAGAGCCTCCCTTCTCTAGAAAAATTCGGGCAAGCGCTATGATCCATCCAATTATCGCCCCATTTCAGTAATTCCTGTGGTAACAAAAGTTTTTGAGCGGATAATCTATGATCAACTGTATGTCCATCTTACGAAGTATAATCTTCTTTCCAAAAGAACCTGACTAAGACCGAATTCTTAATAATAACTTCAAGGCAAAGGCGAGTTTACTTGTCAGACAATCCGTCTCTTACCATTAATAATTTTCCCATTGAGCAGGTGTCGTGAACAAAGTCTCTCGGTGTATCTATCGATGAAAACTTAAGCTGGAATACCCATATTGAAACTGTTTGTAAGAAAATTTCTTCAGCTTTGGGCTTAATTAAGCGCATTAGAGATTTTGTACCATTCTACACTCTTTTGAACATCTTCAATGGTTTGGTAAAGCCCCAGTTTGACTACTGCAGCTTAGTATGGGATTGCTGTAGTACAAGTCTGGCCGAAAAACTTCAGAAGCTGCAGAACCGTGCGGCTCGTATATTGTTGTCCGCCCCTTATGATTCTAGTGCTCTAGACCTGTTCTGTAGACTTCATTGGAAAAACCTAAGGAATCAGAGGCTTTTTGCCAAAGTCGTTATGATGTTCAAAATTCTAAATGGACAGACACCTGATTATTTATCAAATAAATTCATATTTCGTAGTGATACTACTAGTTATAGATTGCGAAATAGTGAAATGAGGCTGGCTCTTCCGCAACCTCGTACCGATATGTTCGTAAAAGTTTCTCTTATAACGGTGCCGCGTTGTAGAATAGCCTTGCGACTGATATTAGAGTATCTAAAACATTAGGTGAGTTTAAGACGAAGCTAAGTAACTTCAGTTTTGAGTGAACTAATGACACGGCGTCCCTGAAAAGCAGTACTTTTATTTTTATTTATTTTCATTCTAATAAGAAGTTAGTTCAGTTCTTTTAGATTAGGCTTTTAATCTTTGTATATATTTCATAATGATTATATAGCTTTAAGTTTTACATTTGTAGGAATATTGCTTGTATACGACTGAGTGGAATTTACCGTGTATAAATAAAGTGATCTATCGATCTATCTATCTATCTATCGATCTATCTATCGATCTATCTATCTATCTATCTATCTATCTATCTATCTATCTATCTATCTATCGATCTATCTAACCCCCCCTCCCTTGAAAAACCCAAACTATATACCCCTGAAATCCTCGTTACAACAGCTAGTTTTAGAGTGAACAATGTACCCACCTTGTCTATGAAGTGCTTAGTGGGAATACTGCAGTCATCTACAGAAATTCTCTGTACAGAATCATCTAGGTTACCAGTTGCAAGATAATGGTAAACAGAAGGACTGAATACCGGCAATCCAGGCCCTCCTTGAAGGATGCTGTGGACTATAATGGTACCCACAAGTTTCATGATACTTGAGACCACCATGTTAGAATTGTAGATAGGAATTTTAAAGGTGTCACCATGAAAGAACTGCTGTGAAATCACTTCAAGCAGCTGGGTGTAAAGTTGCCGAGTGACTCCACCTGTATCCGCTGCTGGTTGCCCCTTGTAAATAACACGTACTCTCTTCTTGCAGTCTCCTAGCACTTGCTGGGAAGAGACAACAAGGAGACTGACCGGTAATTTTCAACCAAGGTTTTGTTATCAGACTTGAAGACAGGTGTAATATTAGCTCTTTTCCATTCCATTGGGAACCACGCCCAAACTAAAAGACATATTAAACAGAGAAGAGCGTGGGTACGAAAGCTCCATAAAGCATTCTTTTAAGATTCTCGCTGGAATATTATCCCCTCCTGTAGCCTTCTTTACGTCTAACTTGGAAAGAATTTTCTGAACTTCCACGGCAGAAGTGGACACATTCATTAATAAATCTGGATGAGTCACATCATTCCGTAACGTCACGTGATCTACAGAGGGAGATGTAAACACAGAACTAAAAAATTCATTAAACAGAGATGCCTTCTCTGCTGGATCACTAGCAGACCCAAGCTTATACGTCAAAATCGGTGTTGAGTTCAAAGGGTGGAAGAACCACGATCTATTCCCACTGTAATGGCTTTTGTGTCGATGAAATTGAAGTTTCAACGTCCGCCTCCGGGCGACTAGGCGTCAATTTGGAAAAACGAGCATGATTTTTTGCTCTTCTTATAGAGGTAGCACTTCAAGCATAATCAACATACTCTTACCAGAAATCTGGGTTTCGGAAGGTGAAAGGTAGTTCTTTTGGATCTCCATAGGATTTTTTGGGGAAATGATTCGGGGCGATTTAATCAAAGTTTAAAGTTGGATAAAATACGCCGATTCGACGGTGTCGTCAATTAGTCGAAAATGTACACATACTCACGCAAACTTGATTTTTTCGCAATTTACGTCCAATCGACTGCTTATTTAACATAATATGCTCTTACCTCCCACGTTTCTGAGGATTGCAGTCCTGAAATTGTTGCATCTCCCTCACAATAGCGATATTGCTTGGAAGGATAGTCAATGCCTCCTTTGGTGGGTTTGGTTTGGCTGTGGCGACCGACAGATCCAGGTTTTGAAGCATACAACAATGTTGTTTATTCTCCCTTGCGGTCGTGAGCTCTGAGATTACTCACTAATCCAATATAAGAGTGGCAAACTTTTGGACACTTGTGGCATGGATAGCAACCCTGTGCTAGTATATCCTCTTTGCGGCAGCGACGACGTTCCCTCAGATCTGCTATTCGAGCATCCTCAAACTTCGCAACCCCGCACTTAACAGTTGTCTTCCACTGGGCTCTATTGCTTACAAGAGCTTCGAAGTCAGTTATATCGCATTTGTTCAGCGTACTCTTCAATTGATCTTTAAAACGCTTCTTAGGCGCACCAACTTTACGAGCACCATCAGACAGTTCACTGTATAAAAGGGCTCGTGGTAGTCTCTCAGCGCTCACACGAACAACATGCCATGTCCACCGAAGGTGGGCTTCCATTATGTAGGCCTCAATCCCGCGCATATGGCAGTGAGACAGCACTTCAGTGTTGGGTATACGGTCTTGCCAGGAGATTCTACTAATTCTCCGTAGGCAGCGCATATGAAAGGCATCTAGCTGTCTAATATGTCGGCGATATAATGTCCAGGTTTCTACACCATAGAGTAAGACACTTAGAACAGCTGCTTGATAGACAGACACCTTTGTCACTAGAGAGATGTCATGAGTGTCCCATAACCTCGAAGCAAGGCGCCCAAATGTTGAACTTGCTTTCGCCAATCGTGCTGCGATTTCAGGGTCAAGGGAACAATCGTTAGATAGAACACCTCCCAAGTAACAGAACTTAGTGACTGCCCTCAAATTGTCAGATCCGATCGTGACTGCAGGCTCTTTGTAGCAGCTACCAGGCCTAGGTTGTAATAGCACTTCAGTTTTCTTTATGGAGATCGAAAGGCCATATCTCTTTGTGGCATACTAAGGCAGTCAATAAGAACTTGGACATCTTCGGTGTGAGCAACAAGAGCGCAGTCACCAGCGTAGAGTAGCTCTATGGTGGACTTTGGTCTTTTTCTTAAATCGCCGAAGGTTGAATATTCCTCCATCGTACCGCACATTGAAATTTATGCCTTTCTCGCAATTATGAAAGGAATCATAGATCACAGCGGCCATAACAATGCTAAACAGCAGTGGTGCAAAAACACAACCTTGCTTGACACCATTATCTACGTCAAAGGGAGCAGATTCCAGCCCAACGTCTACAACATGTGCTTGCATGCCATCATGAAAAGATCGAATGGTGTTTATCACCTTTTCTGGGAAACCAACTCTGTGGAGGAGCATCCAAAGTCTTGTGCGGGATACCACGTCAAAGGCCTTTGTTAGATCCACAAAGATTATATAGAGGTCACGCTGCTGTTCTCTGCATTTTTCTTGCACTTGACGTGCGGAGAAAGGCATGTCCACTGTACTACGGTTCTCCCTATATCTGCATTGGCTTTCAGGGTTCACCTCCTCCGCCAAAGCAGTTGCCCGTCTCACTATTTATTATACGTGCCAAGATTTTTCCAGCAATACACAACAGCGAGATGCCACGATGATTGTTGCAGTCCGCTCTTTCGCCCTTCCTTTTATAAAAATGAATGATTTTCGAATCCTTGAAATCTTGTGGAACGACCTCTTTTGTCCATATAACGGAAAACAGCTGCTGTAGTCTTTCAGCTGGATAGGGGCCACCATACTTGAAGACTTCGGGTGGAATGGAATCGCATCCAGATGCCTTACCATTTTTAAGCACACTGTTGGCATTTGTGACTTCATCGAGCGTTATCGGTAAACTCAGGCATTTAAGCGTTGGTCTGCTTGGTAGATCGTCAAGCACTGCATTTGCTATGTGGGATGGACGGTTTAGCAGTTGTTCAAAGTGTTCAGCCCATCTCTCTATGATACGCGTAGGATCATTGAGAATGATGCGCCCGTCCGAGCTATGAACAGCCAGCATGCCATTAAAGCAAGGGCCATGGATAGCTTTTAGCTCATTATAGAAAGTACGCAGATCGTTCTTGTTTGCCGCACTCTGCATCAGTCTAGCTTTTTCCTTCCACCATTCCTCTTTCATTCTCCTGATCTTTGCTTGTGCTGCAGATTTCACATGTTGATAGCTCTCCTTCTTTGCTTGATTCAGCTTGTCAGAGAGCCAATCTAGATGTTTTTGTTGTAGGTCTGATAGAATTGACACCATCTGCACATCGTTTTCATCAAACCACTCTTGATGCTTTCGCCGCTGGAATCCAATGAAGCTGTAGCAGATTTGCTGCTGCCTTCTTTTAAAACGTTCCATGAACGTTCTACATTCATCGCCTCTTCATGTTCAGCTGCCATACCTTCAAGCTCAGCCTTGATGTTTCTTCCGAAGGAGCTCACAGCCTTCTTCTGCCCTCAACCTATACACGTCTAGACGAGGTGTCTTCAATCTTGATTTATGATGAATCTTCGCCAATAGGCGGAGAGAGGATTTAACTCTCACAAGGCCATGATCGGACCATGTGGTAGATGATCGCACTGACCCACAC